GACAGCAGTTCAGCATCCAGCTGCACCTCGGGGCCGGAGGAGCGTAGCCCTGTCCCTGGGCCACCGAGCCAGCGAGGAGTCCCCCCGAAACGCCCCGACAAGGAGTTCTCATTCGCCGATGAAGATGATGATGAGATCAGAGTATAAAAGGCTGGCGGCTGAGCCAAGGGTCTGGTTCTCAGTTGTGGTTGTTTGGACACGGGGCCGAATGCCCCGGTGCTGCAACGGGTGGCACTGGGGAAGACTCAACTCCTCACTCATTCCCTCTCCCCGTCCGGCAGCGGACGTGCCGTGGCAGGACAGTGCTCTGCTCCTGGGGCCGGGGGCAGCCCCGGTGCCTCTCAGCTCCCAGAGAGCTCCAGCACATCCTGGGAGGGAAAAGCAGACTTGATTTTGGTTCTTTCTGTTGGACTTTGGATATTAGCTCTTTTCTTCCCCCCCCTGCCCATGTAAAGCAATATAGGATCCAACAAGATGAGGCTTCCAAGTTTTAGCCCCTTTAGTAATATATATATTTTTTTCCACCGTTCGGTTTTTACTGCTCTCTGATTTGTACCTAACTTTCTTTACTCTCACTTTTGGTTTTAACTGAAGGGAGATTTTTTCCATGAGGAAGGACTTGGCTCCAGAGCTCAGAGAGGCCTCCTGGGACCATGGGTGTCTACAGCTCCCCACCTTTCTTGGGGACCTTCTGCAGACCGAGAGCCTCCAGCCCGGTGCTGTGGCAGGAGCTCACTCCCCATCCCTCGGATGGATGAATCCATCCCCGATGCCTGACCCTCCAAACAGCCCGGGGGTCGCGGGGATGGTCCCTGGCCAGGCTGCTCCTGGGGATGCCAATGGGAGTGTGGGTTTGTCCCCTGTGGGAGCAACACCAGGGCCCCCTCCCGTGAGCCAGGACGAGCCCCGGTGTCCTGCGTGCCGGGTGGCTGCTGTCACGGGGCTGATGTCCTGTGTGCCAGGTGGCCGCTGTCACGGGGCTGTGCCGGTGCCGGGGCTGGGCTGGCGCAGGCGGGTGGAAGAGGAGGGTTTTATACCTTGTATGTACAAATGCAAAGAATAAAAGGAAATGGTAGTGACAGCAGTGGCCTGAGTTCCTGGGGAACGAGGTGTGTGGGGACACGTGTGTTTGTACCCTGCCCCACAGGTGGGGACTGGCTTTCTCTGTGCTGCCACTGTCCCTAGCCCCTGTCCCTGGCT